AACAGAAAATCCCAGAGTCTGGCATCTTTGGCATGGCTGATTGTGAAAACTGCACACTCACTGTTAAAAGAAAGGCCTTCTTGTGTTGATTCTTCAGATTACAGTGGGTTGAAATCAGTCCCAGGATGAATCATTCTAGAGAGCTCACATCTCCCAAGACATAGGGGCCCACCTGGGGTAAACACTGGCCTGGGAGCTTGTTCATCCTTCCCCAGGGACATTTGTGTGTCCCATTCTTGCATGATGCTTTCCTTCCTACAGGGTAGAGTAGTTTGTTTTTGTGGAAAACCGACATACGGGAAATCAGCCTTTGATGGATCCAGACTTCAGGACAGGTGCATTTCTAAACAACAAAAGCTTTGCCTGGAACATATAGTGAGCTGTTGGTGATGACCTTGGAATATGGATTTCTAAAATACATCATAAAAAAAATCTCTAACTATCAAATCAGAGACTGATAAATTTGTGTGTGTTTAAAGTAAAAACCTATTACCAAAAATCATCTTAAAGAAAGTCTAAAATGAGAAGATGCTCACTTTGGGAATCACTAACAAAGTGTATCATGAGGGCTAGGTAAAGTTTTTTGTAAGTAAGTAAGAACAGGGGAAAGACGCTGGTTAAAAGAAAAACACTGCGCAAAGACTTGAAGAGGCGGGAGAGGTGGCTCTGAAGCTGCACCAGGGGGTGTGGCTGAGGCCACCGAGGAAAGCTGCCCAGCACCCCTTCCTCCCAGTGGTCAGGGTGTCTGTCCATGGCTCCGGGGCAAGAGGTAGCATGGGGCAGACAGCCACCCAGAGAGGCCTGGGGCCCATCGCCCTGTGGGCTCCTTCCCATGTCCTCTTCTGCATTCTCCCAGGAAGTGCCCAGCTGGAAGGGTGGAGCGGATCTGAGATGTGGGTGCCTGTGCTCCCCAACTGTGAGGGCGGATGGAAAGCAGAAGGAAGTGGGTCTGCATCAGAGGTCCTCTGGGCTGGGTTTCCAGGACCGACCTCCCCGTGGCCCCTGAAAGAAGCCAGCCAGAGAAGGGTGTGGGCTGTGGCTTCTCACTGTCCTGTGAGGAAAGAGACACAAACAGGTAAACACAGACAGAGACACACACACAGACAGACATAGATGACATACAGGCAACACAGAGAAACACAGAGACATACACACTCACAGACACACTTCAGGGTGGGCCCCGGGTGCCTGGCCTGGGTAAAAGGGGGGGCATTTCCTCCACCTCTGAAGCTTGGTGACAGTGAACCATGCAGCCAGTGTGTTGGAGAGAGCACCAACCACTCTGGCGTAGGCCGGAGACGATTTGATGGGTCACAGGGCAAAAATAAACAAAGCAAAAAAAAAATTGTGTTCAAAACAGGGACTTCCCTCCCCTGTGAGGCAATGACCTGCCTTACCCTTGAGTGTGAGGATTGACTAGGGTTCCGCCCTCAGCCTGGCAGGACCACCAAGCTCCCTGGGGAATGAGCTTCCCTCCAAAGGTCATGACAGCCAGGTGGGAGGGAGCCATCCCCCGCAGGACACTGACTCACCCAGCTCCAGGATGAAGGTCCAGGTTGGGGTCGGGCCTTTCTCTGGCTGAGGGACGGCAACAGGGTGTGCCCCCATGTGGGGTGCAGTAATGCCAGCTAAGACTCTGACCCCTGCTGAGGGGCACCCACAGCCTAGCATAGGCAAGAGCCCAAGGGATTTGGGTTCTTCTCCTGCCCTACGTGAATTTATAGCATCCTGTAAGTAAAGACACTGAGTGAGTGAATGGTGCATTGAGGATCCAACCTGTGTCCACTGGAGACTAAGGCTCGGAGCAGGTGAGAGATTGCCTATGGTCTTTGACAGAATCATCCTCTGGCCCCTATTCCATCCGAGCACCTGGGGTGACCAGCTCACCTCTCTAGGTAGGATAGGGGAGGGCACAGCTAAGGGGTCCCACCTGCCTGGTACTCCTGGGCAGCTCAGAGGTTCAGCACATGCAATCCTGGGGGCATGGACATGGATGGGAAGGTTTTTGAGGCAGATCTGTTGGGGGCAGGAGCAGCCCTTTTGCTTGGCCACCTTTGTTGGGCCTGGAGGCCCTCACTCAGCAACCCCACAGGGGAGAGGTTAGAATTCTGACAGGTGTCCTCAGAGCACCAGAGGAGACCTGGAGACACCACCAACTCGTTCCTCCTCCCCGCCGCATGGCTGTGAACCTGTCTCCTCTGCAGGGGGTGCTCTTACCCAGTGCCCGTTGCACACGGTGGCACAGCCCACGGAAGGACAGCCACACGTGACCTCACGGCCCTGTTGGGGGCATCTCGCTCGGCTGCTCACCACCTGCAGCCTGGATCTCTGGAGGACACCTTTTGTGTCTTTGCCCAGTTCCTCTAGAGTTGGGAACAATAAGAATGGAGCTAAGAATAAACTGAGAATGGAACGTGCTGCATGGTAGGTTCTAAACACACAGCATGTCCTTTCATTTTCACAGAGATTCTGTGGCGCCGATACTAGCATTGCCACTTGGACAGATTGGTGCCCCAGGGCCACCACGGCAGGTGAGCAGCAGAGCCTGGACCCCTCCAGGGTGTGCTGGACTCTCAGTCTCTGGTCTTAAGCACTTGCCTTGGTTCCCTCACCCAGGATGCTTGGTCCTGCTGGTGCCTGAGCCCAGCTCTTTCTGAAGGAAGCCATCTGCCTGTCACCATCCTGTAAGGAGGCCGCAGGAATGACCACAGACCAGTGAGGAGAAGGGCCCTCGAATTCCCCCTGCCCAGTGCCACAGGTGAGCATGAGGCTTTGAAAGCCATTTCCAGGGTTTCCGAGTTCTGACGGCATCCAAACCTGGCCCCACGGCTGCTGGCCCTTTTATTCCAACCGCATGTGGAATAAAACACAATAGTGCAGGCCCGTGGAGGGCCAGAGAATCTTCCTGAGCTCTGGCCTGGCTATTGCTTGCTGGCCATGGACCTCTCAGCGAGGATGGACAGCCTTTGGCACAATAGCACTGTGCCCCCCTTTGTAGGGTCAAACCTGATCTGTTCCTGCAAGAGACTCATTAAAATTTATGATCACACAGGCTGTATGTGCCATGAACCCCTGCTGCCAGCACAGTTTCTGTGGTAAAGGCTCAGAAAATCACTCGAGTAATTGAATGAATAGACAGATAGGGAGAAAGGAAGGAATGGAGAAACCACGCAGCCCCCGCTGAACGGTGGGGGTCAGATATAGGCGGGAGCTTCACTGCCCAGAACTCGATGCCTGAGACAGACCCTGAGTGCTCGGAACACCACACATGTTGGCCCCCCACAGAAGTGGGCTGGGAGGTTCAAACTCCGCAGTGGGGACGCCACAGTGTGGACCCTGCAGAGTTCCTATCAGAGAAACAGTGATGGGTGCTGAGAAGTGGAAGCTGAGAGTCAAGATGTGCTCTGTGTTATGCAGCTTTTACCAAAGCATAAAAAATAGTTCAATTGAAAAACCTAGCTTCTTGGGGTTGCTGGAGTGCGCATGGTGGTGGCACGAGGTTGGAGCAAGGTATCTTCAAGCCTTTCAGCTGGTCCAACCTCAGGGCAGCTGACCTCCTGCCTGCACTTCCTGCTCTCTGCTGAAGCAGGGTCCAATGTCCTGTCTGGCCCGAGATCAGCCTGGACATCATCAGGTCCCCCCAGCAGGTTACGCCTCACTCTGCACCAACGCAGCCCCCATGAGGTCATGAGAAATGGCAGCGGTAAGCAAACACGGCCCCAGGTGCAGTGGGGTTGCTGTCCTGGTGGGCACACTGTCCTATGCTGCCCTCTTCGCGTCATCAATGTGGCATATTTGCCCTTGGCAGTGTCCAGCCTTAGGCTTCGCTGACCAGAGACACAGAATGCTGGTGGGAAACAAGTTAATGAGCTCCTCTGGGGAGAAGGAGGTTCTGAGCAGAGCAGCGTGCCTCCCTGGCAGGTCTGGGCAGCGTCAGGATGCATGGTGGGCCCGCTGCCAGCCTGGTCCTCCTCCACGAGGGTTGCATGTGGGCCTCAGGGAGCCTGGGCTGTGCCCAGTGCATGCAGAAGGCAGATCCAGGTGCATGTGAGTGTGCGAGGGTGGGGCTGAGTGAGTGTGAGGTGCGGGTGGTTGGGAACCGGTGGGTGGCGGGTCAGTGAAGGGACGCAGTGGAGGTATACCTGTGTGTGCACAAGTGTGTGAGTGTGCTGCACGCCCTCCCGTCTTCATCTGCCCTCAGGAGAACGCTGCTGCCTCAGTTGTCTTAGCCATCACGAGAAAGAGGAAGGGGTGGGTGACTGGACCCGGCTATGTGCAAGGCCTCATGTGGCACCAGGCCCGTGGTCACGTGAGGCATGGCAGTGCCCACAGAGGAGCAGCCGTCAAGGCCGCGTTTGCATGGGGCCCTGAAGGTGTTACCACACACAGACAGTGCTTCTCACCCCAGCCGCTTCTTCTGTCTTTACCCGGCGGCCTCCCTGCCTGGCCCATCTTCACTGTCTCTGCCGGGGAACTGGAGAGTGACTGCACGCCACCCTCACCCTCACGTTCACCTTCCCCCACTCCCCCGCACCCCCTAGCGTCATCCCTTGCCCCCCGGTCCCCATGTACCCCGATGGCTGTGCTGCTCAGGAGGGGACCCACAGTGGCTAGGTCCCTATTTTAGGGCTACTTCTTCTTTGCCAGCCTTCTTTCTTTCTCTCCTTCTGTCACACTTTGCTACATCCTCATGCAAAATTAAGTCCAAAACGATTTCAGTTACTCCCAACCCTGAGACAAGTTTTAAAATAGCGACAGGATTAACAACCCCCTTCCCACTTGAGGGCTGTAAGGGACTCTGGTGGATCTGAGTGCATTTTCCATTTGCAAACTTGCTAATGCAAATCCCATGGGGAAAAGGAAATTGAGGATCTATTTCAGCATGCAAATATTTCCTCTGATGGGCTTGCTTCTCCTCAGAAGGGGTCCAAATAAAACACCACACAGAACCCTGCTTTTTCCAGCCCCCTCTTGTTGAAATTGAACGTGTAAATCTTCTCTGTTGCCTTTATTGATCAAGGCCAAAATTACAAATATAAATTACCATGGTGGGAAGCGAGGTGCTCTGGTGGAGGATGAGAGGGGAGGCCGCATTGTCAGCAATTCATCTGACGGGGAGCCATCAGGGAAAGCCGGGGTCTGCCACGGTCCCGTGGATGACACCCGTCAGCTCACTTCCTGTCAAGCTCCTGCGCCTAACCGGAGGTACAGGCAGATGCCTCAGCATCAGCCTTGCCGCTCACTGTACTTAACTGTCTCCGTGAAAGCTGGTATTTGTCTCTTAAACTGTGATGCGTCTGTCTTGCCCAGGCATCCTGAGTCCCCTCGTCTCGTTTCCTTGCTCGTCTCTGCCTGGCACAGGCTTTGAAATTAGAGTCCCGGGTGTAGGTCTGAAACAAGATGGAAGAAAAGGATTTGGAATTCAACCTTTTCTTGCCATGAGATCTTGTGATATGTCTGTGGGGGAGCTGATGGCGACCGTTCCTGAGCTCTCGAGCAGCCCTGGGCGTGCACACAGGCGAGTCCCTACGGGCTGAGAGGGCCGCCTCAGGGCGTGTGTAGTTTTGGAGGTTTGCCTGTACAAATTGCTCGGTTAAGGGGCAGACAGGAAGGCAGCCTAGCAGTGGGTTGGAGGCTGGAGGCTGAGGAAATAAGATAAAGGGCCTGCAGAGATAGGGAGCTAGGAATGCCTGTGGGGCGGAAGGGAGCCTGGGGGCTGGGTGTGGTCCCTGACTCCACAGAAGGGCAATGCCAGACCTGACACCTCTGCTCAAGACTCCCCGGCAGGGCCTCTGCCCACAGGGCTCAGACACAGCTAATCCAGCCCCTCAGTCCAGTCACGCTCAGCATCTACTGCTCCATCTTCCAGGACACCGAGACCCAGATAGCGGCGCCTAGGCAGGCCCATCCGAAACCAGCTTTTCCTTTTCTCGTGTATGTCACTGGCTCACCCCACCCCCTGTTCTCTGTTGACTCAAACACTTTGTACACACATCTGCTACAGCTTTCCTTCCTCAGGACATTCTGAGAAATCATAGCATGTATTTTCACCATTCCTGTGGTATAAAGAATGAGGAATATTCTGTCATTTTTTTTTTAAGAGAATACTGCTTCAAGTAGTTAACAGAGCTAGGGCTGACTCCAGCCTCTCCACTCCCCAAGGGCCACTGGGATCTCCCATGCAGTCTTTCTGACTCGGAGGTGCCTCAGGTCTCCAGGGCCCTGGGTCACCCCCTCGAGCCCATTCCAGGTCCATGGATGTGGGGAGACTGGCACTTTCCAGTTCTAACCCACTGGTAAGAGATTCAGAACCCAGGGCAAGACTAACCATCTAAATAGGTCTTATTTGGGAACCACCAGAACCACAGAAGGCTGTCAATCTCCTCCAGCCCAGCAAGGGTAAAGCAACCATCCTTGATATAAATCCTGGTCCTGACAGCCATTATGTCTAACGTAGACAATCTATTTCAAACCTCATGATGAAGGTTCAGGAACTCAAGGCAAAATAAGCCATCAGAATGGGACATATTGGGGACCTGTGGGAATAGGGATGACTCACCCTCTGACCCATTTAGTTCAGGAAAAACTTCCCTGGATCCTAAATCACTAATACTGGTTGTGATTATGTGAATGAGGTGGGGCTGCCTGTGATAGACTTGGTGAGTTTAATAGCTTGAAGGGGTACAAGAACTGTAGATAAGGGATTATCTCAATCAGGGTCTCCTGACTGAACTCTTAACACTCTGGTATTTGCAGCCATTATACAAAGATCCAAAGCTACTCTAGATAGCCAATCCATTTCAAACTACCTGATAAGGGATTTGGAACAGAGAGTAAAATCTGGTACCTAGGAAAAGAAACACAGGGGAAGTCTATGCTGGGGAAGTCTCAGTCAGAGGGAGGGGAAACTTCCCTTACCCCTAAATTACTGGTGTTGACAACCATTCTGGGAGAGTTCAGTGCTGTTTGGGAAAAAGAATCAGTTTCAATAAACCTCATTAGAAATTTGACACTTAGGGGCTCTCCCTGGTGGCACAACGGGATAAAGCACTGCACTATGAAGCTCTCCAAAGCCACTGCAGCACAAATTGGATCCCCTGCCAGATTGCTGACCCACATGGCATGGCAGACCTCTCCTGACCCACCCGCTGCTCCCCTCAGCAGTATATTTCAGTGGATCTGCCTGTTCTGCTCCCTGCTCTGTCTCTGGAGACTCCTCTCACCTACCACACCTCTAGCCTGTACCCCAGTTCTGTAAGCATAAATAAATCTTTAAAAAAAAAAGAAAAGAAATTTGACACTTAGGATGGGAATCAGCATCTTAAATGGGACACATTCAGAGACCTCTCAAGAAAGAAAGGCTCAGTCAGTCCTGTTCCCCTCCCCCCATGACCAACAGGGCAGGAAAAATTTCTGAAACCCTAATTCACGGATAATGACCATTATGGGTGGCCTCTGCCTCTGCCAGAGATAGACTGCACTCCAGTCCTCCTGGTAAGGGACTCAGAACCAATGGCAGGACTAGGCACCTGAAATGGAACATAGTTTATACCGACCACCGGGGCTGAGTCAGTCTGGCCAGCCCAGTTGACAGAGAGGAAACTTTCTGAACATTAAATTGCAGTTTTGGGCAATCACTATGGCTGCCGGGACAGACAGAATCACTTTTAAATCTTCTGATAAGGGAATTGGAAGGAAGGGCAGGACTGGTCATCTAGAAAGGGGCCTCTGGAGAATAGGTCACTTCTGGTCAGCCAGGTCAGGGGAAATCTCCCTGTGCCATATGCCCCCAATAACATCAGCAATTACAGTAGGGTCCTGGACCTACTCTGGACAGAGAGATTCCTATTCAGTATGCAGCCAGAGGAATTTGGCATACCAGGCAGGACTAAGTATAGAATGGGACATGATAGGAAACTCTGGGTAAAGGAAAGTCCCAGCACATTCCCCCTAGCGCAGTGATAGTAAGAGAAACTTCCTGAAACCATAACTCAACTTATAAGCAGTCATTATAGGATGATCCAGACAATGCATTGAACCCTCCTAATCAGGGATTCAAAACCCAGGGTGGAACCACTGCCCAGTGAATACTTGACTGCAAGCATGTCTCTCCTTCAAGTATGAGTAGGAATGAACTTTCACCAGCTCACCGTAAGTGTGTCTGATCTGACCCACGCACTTCCCTCCCTTTAATGGATGCTTGATCATTCACTAAGGTGGTGAGGCAGGAGGAGGGAAGGGGAAGTGTTCTCAGGTAGTGACGGTTACTGACAGGAACAAACGAGGGAGGGTGAGGGAGGGTCATAGGCTCTGGTGAGCCCAGGTTTGCATGGTGGACTCCCGCTGTGAGCATATTGCTGACTGAGCTCTGCAATAGATTTATCAACTCCAGAAAGATGAACTGATAGAGTGAACAGCTGTGGGGACCCATTCCCACATCCCTCAGAAAAATGAGACATTCTGAGGCTGCGAACTGCAAAAGCCCAAGTGTGAAACTGAGATGCGGACATGGAAAGCAGTCTCTGGGCAGACTGGAGCTTGATCTGGTGTGCGCCCCTCTCCCCCAATCCCCCACTCCTGAAACAGGCACTTGGAAGCTCACCTCTACGCACTCCTTCCCATTGCCTAGAAACAATGAGGATCCCAAACTAAAGCCACAGTGCCACCTACTGGGGTAAAATGTCAAGACACATGTCAAGGAAAACTAAATCCATAGAACATGGGATGTTGGTGCTGAAAGAAAAGAGATACCAGACATTGTGACACCAAAGACATTAGAAGAACAACAATGAAGAAATTCAATGATGTTTGAAATTTACTTTACCACAGAAAGCCATGTTCAGAGTATCAGAAAAGATGTCCAGGAGCAAAAGGAATTCAAAGAAATCAAAGCTATTAAAAAACTGAGCAGACATGATGGATATAAAGAATACAATGAAAGAGCTGAATGTTATAGTATGGTATGGTATGGTATGGTGCTTAAACTTTCAGAGGAAAGAAGTGAAACACAAGTTTAAAATGCAAACAATTTAGGTGGAATTGGATGGGAAATAAGATTTAGGGAAAATGAAGAAACTATATGAAAAATAACAGAATTCATTAGAAAAGGAAATATAAATGATAATGGATATCCCAAAGTGTGGGAGAGAAAGGAACAAAAAGCCTATTCAAAAAATAGCTGAGAATTTTGCAAACCTAAGGGGAAAACTAACTACAGATGTCCAGAAAGCAGACAGGACACTCAAATTTCTGAATGCAAAGTAACCTACACCAAGACACATAATTCTTAAATTATCAAAATTCAAAAAAAAAGGAAAAAATACTAAAGGCTAATAGCATAGAAGTACAGAGTAACATACAAAAAGCATGTAAGATACAAAGAATGAGACCAACCTTTATTAGACTTCACAGCAAAAACTACAGTTTAAAAGAAAGTGGAATTACATAATAACAATTCTGAAAGATAAATGCTATATTAAAAATTATTATTCAAATATGGTAGAGAAATAAATATTTTCTCAAATAAACAAGAAATGTTCAAAGTTCTTCTATATGACTGAGAAGAAGCCAAAGAACATAAGACCTTGAGTAAGTTGACATAGTAACAGAATCAGAAACATTAACAACACAGTAGGAGACAAGAAAACATTTAAAAGGGAGGCAGGAAGGAATGTATTGAGTAGTAAAATGTTGACTTGCTAACACCAACACAGAAAGGACTACTTTAGATATAGAAAGTCTGATTATCTTTTTTAAAAAATTGGCCCTCCCTGGTGGCGCAGCGGGTTAAAGCACTGCACTAAGAAGCTGAAAACACTTCCGCATAAGTTCAATTCCCACCTTCCCTGGAGGTGACCACATGG